TTTAAAAAAATATTTATCCATTTGTTTTTCATACTAAAAATATATCCTTTTATTAACAAAATAATAATCATTAAAAAACTAATGAAATAAATATTATATTTCAATCTATTTATCAATTTACTTTTCATTAGTAAAAAGTAATTAAGAAAATAATTCATTTCAATTAGTGCGGTCAAATCGATTAATCATGATTATACATGTATGTGTATACATATAAATATACACAGTACACACTTATATATTATGTAAACAAACTTTTATCTTTATCAAGAAATCGTGATTAATCGATTTGACAGCACTAATTTAAATACTATATTTTTATAGTTATCAATTTACTCTGGAAACAATCTCCACATATTTTTTAGGCTGAAATGCTTATGTGAATAGATCAGGACAATAGTCTACCATCTCACGCCGGCGTTCCTCCTCTCTCTCCATCTCCTTGCTGTAGTCTCTGGCTTTCTTCCTCTCTCTGAGCTCCCAGTTCTTCAGACGCTGTTGTAATTAAAGAAGGTAAATAGTGGATCAAGACAGCTAATCATTCAGTAATGTGATCAGATTCACCTCCTGATACGCCGCCTCTTTCTCTCGCAGCTTCCTCTCCAGTTTACGCCGTTCATACGCCTCTTCCTCATCTTCCTCACGATCACGCTTCTTCTCCTTATCTCGGTCTCTATCGCGACTCTGTTCTCTGAAAACAGACAGCACCCAGTCACGATATATGAAGTCTGCACTTTATTGTCGACACAGAACTTCAGCTTTTGAATATGTTGGCATATACATTTTGTAGCTCTACAAAAAAAAAAAAAAGAATAAAATTGCTGTAAATAAAAATGATTATAAATACCTTAACATTTTGTAAATTTCTGTATTTATGTAAATGTTGCAGAAATTTATAAATATTAATTTTATAAATAATAATTTTGCATAAATGAGACGCATAAATGTTGGTAAATATAAATACTAATTTATGTTATAAATAAATATTTATAAATAAATTAGA